CGATCTCACCGTAATGGGTTACTTATTACTAATTATGCCATGGCTAAAACATGACAAATCCAAATCCATACCGATTAAGTAGAGCAGGAGTGTGAATTGGGATGTGTTTTTGCCTTGCATGGATGTGGTTCTTCGTTGTTGTTGGATGAGAAATGGAAAACAAGACCTCTAATTCTTAATGATTCAAAAGCGGTCCATTCGATAAAACTTGATCTCGAATTTGTATATCCAAGAACCATCTCTTGTGCCGATATTCTTGACATAGCTGCTAGAGACTTAGTCATTGTGGTAACTAGTTTCAGCATTCCTAATCATACTCATGTATATATCGGATGAAATTAAACCACACTGGCTTTTATTTAACACTTATAGTCAGAGCCTCAGAGGTATTAAGCTAATGTTACTCGTCTTCTTAGGTTGTAGTTGGGAAGCTTACGACCCTCCTGATCTCAGCCAAAAAGAGGCTTTTGTTCCTTTGCCATATTGGTAAAATAATAGTTTTTCGCCTTTCGTTTTAATATTTTTTTAGTTTACTTGTCATTGTGAATACGACAATGGCTCTTAGCACAATACTTGAAACCCCCAACCTCTATTTTCAAAAGATAGTATATAGGAGAGACCCTTTTTTACATAACGTTGAACATCAAATGCACACTGTAAAGACGGAGAAGTTCATCGAAGTGAGTTAGAAAATGCGTCATGGCCCCAAATTATAGGACATGATCACGGGTTTTTGAAGCGTTATTAGCGATCTTTCCTCATGCGAAAACAAAATAATGTTTCAAGTGTTATTAGCGATATTTCCATGCGAAAACAGAAAAGAGACGTTACTGTTAAGCATTTTACACTTACCCGAGGAGATGTAAAAGCCAAAGAATCGCTCCTGAGTTTACCAGTATGCGAATAGTATTGTTGTTGCTCGCATGAGTCAAGGTAACAAGAACACCCAGTGCTTGCTTGACGACGTCATCAGGGAAGCCGATGCGTGGACATAAAAGTTCCCCAAGAACTGGTATTGCTCTGTTGGTCAATCCAATAGCATCTGTATGGCACAAAATCAACAAAGGCTTGACAGCAGTTTGAGCGTTGGTTTAGAATGAATGAAAGTGGGTACATTGAAGAACAGGAAAATCTCGCTGAAAAGATTAACAACCGGCATCATAACATCAACATGTAAAACAAGGTCCTGAGTTAATATTGAATCGCACGCGATGTTACCTAGTGCCAAAACATTCTGTAGCAAAAAAATTGCGTCTAGAGTAGCTCAAGACTTATGCTCTTGACATTATGAAAATTTTGGCCTTTTTTCTTGGATTTTCTTAAAATGTTTGAATTTTCAATTTTGTGCTCCCTTAAAATGGTGAAATTCATGATCGAAATTCAGGAAATAAGTAGCATTGTTGTGATTGGGCTTTAGAATCATCAAACTTCTGATTAGTATTTCATATGTTTTTCTTTTGTTTAGCATTACATTGCTAAGCTTATTTTGGAAAACTTTAGAAAAAAATTAGCAAAAAAAAAAGTCAGTAGGCCATCATTATCCATGATACAATGTGAGTATCATTAAATATAAAATTATTAGAGAGAATGTGTTTTTAATAATTTTATATTTAATGATACCTACCTTGTATCATGGATAATGATGGCTTTACATTGCTGAAAAAACGTTATTTATTGAGCAAATAAAATTGTTATTTTTTTTTGTCGTAATAAAATTGTAATTTATTAATTATTATTGTCAACAACATAAATAAAACGTTAATTGGGCTGAGAATAAGCCCATTTCAATAATTGGGAGCAGACTCAAACCCCATTATCATCAGTCACATCTGTTTCTCCCAATCGTCTCGTAGAAGCAAAAGGAAAGTTGATTTCAAAGATTCAAAATTTAAACTGCAGAGAGAGAGAGAAGAGTTATGGCGACGACGGCGAAGAATATGAAGGGTTTCTACAAGCAGACGAAAAGCAATATCACCGGAGGAATCTCCAAGTCCAAATCTTCTTCTTCCCGGAAAGTCTCTCCCAATCCCAAACACGCGGTGACTCTAGCTTCTGATGCTACGCAGCCCAAGGCGTTAATTACTCACGACGGTTCCCTCGATGTCAATGGTTAGTGTTTTTACTTCTTTCATTGTGATTTGCTGATAATCAATCATTGAATTCATCGATTTCAGTAGGAAGGAATCTTAGGGTTTTAACTCCAATTCACATATGAGATTTTGGGGGAAAATTATTCAGTGGTTTGACTTTGGTGGTTTCTGTTTTGTTATTGTGGTGTTTCAATTTCAACAGAAGATTATGACAAGAACGAAGAGATGCTCAGACAATTTGACATGGACATGGCTTACGGTCCGTGTATGGGAATGACAAGGCTTGGTCGATGGGAGCGTGCAATGCGTCTAGGGATGAATCCTCCCAATGAAATTGAGAAGCTTTTGAAAACTGAGAAAGTCAAGCAAGATTGTCTCTGGCAAGGTCGTGTCTAGATGCTTTCTTTATCCTTTTTCCCCATTTGTATGATCAATGTTGCCTTTTGTGGATGTTGTGATTCAGTCACTGGCTGGATCCACCCACTTTCTTTCTGGTGTTAATGTTAAAAAACCTTGGTAATGAAATGGATTTTGTTCATCAAAGCTTCAGTCTTTTGTGAAATCCTCCTTATCACAGGAAGTTTTATTATGAGAGACTTGTACAAATTCCAATCAGTAATTACTTACAACAAATTCCTCTCAGTTTCCAAATCAAAGCATTATTTACACTAGGAACTTGTGACTTGAGTTAACCTGGTGGTCTCTGATACAACAAGTTTCTGATGAAGGGCTTGGTCTCAATCTCTTCTTTGTTCAACAACAAAGCTCTTAGATAAAAGAAAAATTGTAATCTGCTGTTGGATTATAGAGAAACGTGAAGCAATGCAAATTTAATCAAACACCAAACGGCCAGTTGATCAATAAAAAGAAGAAGCAAGCGAAGATGAATCTGATTTCATCCAGACGAGAACTTGCTTTCTGAAAGCACGACCATAACCCTGACTGCATCAAGGTCGAACTGATCAATCACAGAGGGATCTTCCTCGGGTTGCATTCGTTTGCTCTTTTGGTTTTCCCTCCCAACAGGTCTGGGACGAAATCTGCCATCTTTTCTGGGTGGACCAGGCCTCTGAGGTTTCGCACGATTGGATGCAAGGATCTCTGCGACTGCTTTGCCAAGAGATTCATCAAATTAGGGTTTCTACTTTTCAGACCCATCAAATTACTGGCCTTCGTTTACCTAAATCATCATCACTATACAATTTTGGATTCTAAAGCTCGAAACTCTCAAGATTATATCGAACAGAACGGTAACAGCTAGACTTGTCAATATTTACTTTGAGATTTGTGAAGCGAAATCAGATTAAAGCTTGCTCGGGAGAAGTCGATCGAGATGTTCAAGGATCCTTGAGAGAGAAACGATAAACGTAAAAGGTTTTAGGCATGAGTTTGTGGGTTTCACGACGATGGATTCCAAGGTGTGTTCAATGCGATTCCATGTCCGCAAGGAACAAGAAGACTTTGCTATAAAGCAGGTTGATTTACTCAGTCACTTGGAGATATCTCAAGTCGAGGCCCCTGGTGTGGAACCCTTATCTCGGGCAAACAAGGTCGATCGCAGTTTCCACAGACTAGACAGGTACGCTCTCGGATATGACAAGAAGAAGCGTACCCACAAAATATTGAGGTTTGTGGATAATTACACCTTTATCAAGAATAACGACAATTACCCCCTGGCAAGTATGGTCACGTTTTTGGGTTTGAAATCTACGTCTCGAGCTCTGATTCATGGAGAGTTCTTGACGTCAATCCCGACTGGGAAGTAGAGTTTGACCAACGCGGCGCGGAGATGCCTACTTTTTCGCTCGGGAGAAGATAGTTTGTCCTCCAGGACGAACTCTATGGACTGAAGAGATTGATGATTTCTTACTCTGTTTTGATTTTACAAGGGAGAGATTTGGACGCCTCTTCCGTTGAAGAGGTTTGTGTTGGAGAAAAACAACAACAGCTGGCCGTGCTATATCAGAAGGGTGAGGATCCGTTTGACCCGTTGGGAATTTGGGTTACGACCATGATTGAGCCCGAGGGATCAAGTTTTTGAAACTGGATAAGAGACCAGTCACTTGTGTTGATCATGTTCAGTTACGCATCGGAGCTGGGAGCTTCTTCATTGACGAGGAGGAGAAAGCCGCTGTGATTTTTGACGTAGACGGATATGATGGCTACTTCAAATATGTCAGTCTCGGAGAAGCTCCCAATTTCGGTCTGAAACCTGACCCTGTTGGATATGTATATACCTTTCCAAGGTATTGCCCACCACTTGTCTGCTCTTCTTCTTATCTCCCAAGCTTAGTGCAAAAGGCCAACTGCTAGTCACCGTTTCTATCTATCAGCTATATAATAAGTTTCCTTGGGATCTAGTTTACCTGTTCGCAGGATCATATGCAAAGACTTGGCTGTTAATTCTTCAGAGAGTTATATTTTTCATCCGTCTATTTACTTTACTCTTCCCTGAAAACTGGTCTTTTTTATCCCCTGACACTCTACTTTTTTGCTTCCAATATAGTTCTACTCTACATGCTTTAGCCAATTCTGATTTCATATGATCCATCTTACGAAAGCTTCCCTGCAATTCCCTTCTCCAACTCTGCCCCTAGTCCTTTGTCCCTTGAGTTCATGTCACTCGTCTTTCTCATCGTCGGTCTAACTGCTCTTGCAAAAGCTATATTGCTTGCTTCTGTCACTCGTCTTTCTCATCGTCGGACATGCTCTTATATACAGTAGTTTTCGGAAGCAATTCGGCCAGGGCACCACCACATAACAAAAATCGAGAATAAAATAAAACAGACATACAAATTCCAATATGGGTGTCATAATTACGCAAATGTTTACACAATAAAGTTGCAACAACTTTCTCTCAGTTAACAAATGAAACTGAAGTCATTATAGACACTAGGAACCTGTGAGGCTTGAGTCACCCTGGTCTCTGATAGAACAAGATCCTTCAGGGTCTGGTTTCACCTACCCACTGTCTTTTCTTTGACAATTGCTAATTACTTCCAATGAGCAGCAGAACTTTCCATGAGAGGAAGAGATTGATTGTGGCAATCTCAGAAACTACCAGTCATGCGAATAACAAGGCCACAGAGCAGGGGATTTGCTTCTCATGATGATTACCCGAAAGATTAGGATTTAGTGGAGACATTAAATAGATGACCTTCAACGTCTGGAACAAAACCTTTATCTACCATTTCTTCTTTAACTATTTCATACGTCATACGGTTCGGGACTAAACCTTTCTCCAACATCTCATTCAAAAGCCTGTTTGCATCCTCCAACTTTCCCTTTTGTGAACATCCTTGCAGAAGCACATTATATGATGCTACATTCATACGCAACCGCCTTTCTTTCTCCATCTGTGTCCTCACGTTTGTTGCTGCCTTCAGATTTCCTTCCTCACAGTAGCCTTTCATCAGAATGTTATATGTCAGATGTCTCGGCTTCAGACCTGTCTTCGATAGTTGTTTCAAAAGCATCGCTGCTTTTCTTGATTCTCCTTTACTGCAATAACCATCCATGAGTATGTGATATGTCACAAGATCAGGAACTCCTTTACTAGTCACTTGATCAAAAAGCTTCTTAGCTGCTCCTATTTTATCGTTTCTACACAACCCACCAATCAAGCAATTATAAGTTTCAACGTTTGGTATAATCCCTTCCCGTTCCATTGCTTCTTTTAGTGCAAACCCATCCTCGATTTTTCCTGACTTACAATACGCATCAATCAGGATGTTATACGTTTTCGCAGTAAGAACAATTCCACGGCCTTTCGCTGAGTCAAACATATTAAGAGCTTCTTTTTGCATATTGTTCTTGCAAAACCCGTTGATAAGAGAGTTGTAGGTAATCAAGTTAGGCTGCACGCCTGTGCTGACCATCTTATCGTGCAGACCACTAGCCTCGCTTATTTTTCCTCCACTACACAAACCATTAATCAGTGAATTATAAGTGATAACATTCGGTTTCACGTCTTGATCTAGCATCTCTTTAAATACCTTCTTACTCCCTGAATAATTCCCATCTTTCCAGAATCCATCAATCAATATATTGAATGTAGTCAAGTCAGGGGACACCTTATTCTCCACCATTTCCTTCAAAACCGCGTCTGCTTTGTACATTTTCCCGATTACCCCAAGCTTGCAGTACCCATCAATGAGAGTGTTATAACTGACTACATTTGGAGCAGTTCCATATACTTTCATATCCTCCATAACATCCCTAGCTTTGTTCATTTTCCCCGTTTTGCACAACGCGTTGATCGCGACATTGAAAGTGAACACATTTGGTTGAATCTTTCTCCTAATCATCTCTTTGTAAACATATTCAACATCCGCAAACCGATTCTCCTTCAGCAACGCAATCATCAAAGGCTTACAAGACAAAGCAGACAACTTATACCCATAATAACCTGCACGCTTAAACGCCTCTAATCCTAAATCGAATCTCGAGTTGTTCGCATAAGCCAACACCAACATATCAGCTATAATCGAATTGACGCAAACATTGTCACACATTGAAATGGCATGGAAAATCGAGTGAACTGGATGATCCGACGATCCTTTCTTCACAAACCCATCAAGGAAAGATCGGATCTTAGAGTACCTTTTGGCATTGGCAAGAGAATGCAAGAACTTAAATGTGAGCTCTAGCGAAATGTTACTGTTCTTCACTAAGTACCTGAGACACAAATCTGGGTCAAGCTCAGAACATATCAACTGTTGAAATAGCTCGTTAGGGTTTATGTATTTCACATGAAATCCGAGCTTTGACCAGTGCTGCTTCTCTATGAGATGAGCGATGAACGCTACGTCGTCTCTGGGTGGGATTCCGGCGATTGTAGCTGGAGAAGAAGAGAGATTTCTTAAACCCGTGCATTTTCTCGGGAAAATATCTAAGAAATTCGAGATTTTTCTCCTTACGGGTAAGGATTTGAGGAACATTGATTCGAGAAGAAGACTGGGATTTTGGAACTTCGTAATCGAACCCATTTATCATCTCTGTCGTTTTTTTTTCAGATTTGACCCCCAATATTCTAACATTTGACCCCAAAGATTTTTAATTTGCAATTGACACCCATAACTTCCACAAATTTACGAAATTACCACTGTGATTAGATTGTGCCCCTCTGATTCAAATTTCTCTTTCGTTCCCGAGCTCAAAACCCTAATCAGATCGTGCTCTTGTTGTTTTGGCGATGGGGGAAGACATCATTGAATGTAATTGAAAATCCATCCTTCCTTTCTCTATGTTCATCAATTTGATTTTGCTTTTTTTTTTTTTCCGATTTCCAAAAGCTAATTGCAAATGTGTGTGTGTGTGTTTTTTCTGAGTGCTGATGTATATCCTAGACACTGGTGGCTATAATGCGATTTATATTTGTGGAACCAATGATTATGGGACTGGAACTGAAAAGAAAGCTTTGGAGGAGAATTGCACCCCTGAGGAAATCTATGATAGTTAATGTTTTTTCTTTAATTAATGAAATTTCTACGATTTGTAGCATGATGATAAGAATTCTGAATCATCTTAATCTTATATCC